AAGTCGATCTCATTAAAAGGTACATGTAAATTCCCCTCAGTCTGCTAGTGTTTGGTTTTATCGAGAGAGCGTAATTGATACTCTCCTCAAGGCAACCTCCTTCAGTAACTGTAGAGATGTGAAAAGTTTTCGTCTGTAATGTCACTTAACAGACATGTACAGAGAGTAAAGAAGACATAATCTGCTTTTCTGATATGACACCAGTTTGAAGTTTTTGCAAGCGGATAACCCAACCGTCACGATGTCTGCACACCAACATGAAAAACAAACATTAATTTCTGTTTAAAAGTAAGTTTTCGAGACTGCTAGTAAACTATATTGGTGGTCGCAAAATCCTACTTATGAACGAAAAATAAGTAATGCTGTCGATTGCCATAAAAAACTACAACTTTGCTTCATCGACAATACGACCAGATAATTCGATATGGGAAAAGACTTGGCCTTACTTGAAATTCACATCTTCCCTGTGACCCAAGGGCATGTCTCTTGAATTGCATGCGTCCATTAAACCTCTTCATAGTAACGGTAATCCATCATCAGTTTTTGGTGAGATTAACCTACTTTTATTCAAAATCCAGTAAGTAAAATAAGTTTATTTAAAGAAACTTATTAAAATTCCATTTTTAGAAACTTTCAAGTTTTAAAGTAGTTTGTATCTTTAAATTGATTCCCTTTATAAGGCATTTGTAAATAATAACCTTTGAACTTGTATAGTGCTCTCTTATGCATTCCATACTTCGCGCCCTGCTTTCGTGCATAAGGCGAATTCGGGCTCAACGGAAGATCATCGGCCGGACTCTGACCGTTCGGCGAGGTGGGACTCACTACATGTCTCAGGGGGCAACAAGGAGGAGGGCGAGGCGGGTGACGACAGTTGGCTCAGCGACACTGAGACCAGCGCCTCATCGATCCTAGGGCTGAATCCCGAAAGAGAACACTTGCGCAAACTGGTTAGCAAACACTTTTTGGATACGGTAAGTTGGTTTCTCTGTCCATCCACAGCTTGAGTCTGAGGCTAAGGAGGAAATAGTAGCGGTTATACTCATCGCCTCTTGAGGAATCTTGTCTACTCAAGCTTCTCTAACCCTTTGACATTATTGCCTACGCTTTCAGGGTTTAGTTATTTTTCGTCACCATTGACAGAAGCAACAAAAACTGACCGGAAGTTGGCCCTCAGAACCAATCTTGATTATCCAAACATCAGTCTCAGTTTGGACTAATTCTTTCTTAAGTTCTTAGTTTTGCTCGCCAATTAGACCAAGTGATGCATTCCAGCCATTTTATATAACTACATTAGAGATTAAATCTGCATATCAGTGCATATGTGTATCCTTATTTGCATATATTTGCGTATGTGTTTGTATCTCTGTGTATC